CCGCAATCCCTTCTCCTCCATTCTCCTCTCGGGATCTTGGGCACAGACGCACATGCGGCCGGCGTGAGTTTTAAGCCACCGGGTCCGGGACACAAATTGTGGTCGACTACATGGGAGTCCAGCGACATAGCCATTACGCTAACTGCTGGTTCCCGATGAATGATTTCTTGATGCTATTTATCTGTATATAGACTCTCTCAACCATATTTTCAAAATCTCTTCAACCTAATATGAATGAATGATGTGACTGTAGATGAGTGGAGAATGTCTTTACACATAAACGTAACCCCTGAAGGATGATTTCCTACCACAGTGACCACAGCTTTAGTGTACTAGAGAAGTGTCTTTCAGTCAACTCTCAACCTAAGTCTTGGAAGCTTACAATGCTTCTGCAACCCAAGGTTTCTACAGGCATTTTCAATATGCCATGAGTGGCGCAGAACACATTCCCAACGGAGCATAGCTACAACCTGCAGACCCCACATTTCACGCACCTGAGTAATAGTAACAATAGTTAATATTTAATGAGGGCTTACTGCAAAGCCTGCTACTAAGTCCAGGAATTAACTCACTTAATCCTCATAATAAACACACAAAGTAGGTGCTATTATACCCCATCTTAGAATACAGATAAACTGAGTCTTCAAGAGGTTTAGTAGCTTGTCTACAGTGACTCAGCTACTAAACAATAAAGCGAAGGTTTCAATCAAGCAGTTGACCCTAGAGACTCTAACTTTTAAACATTACCTAGGGGAATAGAAATACAATTAAAAGGGGAATTGACAAGTATTGAGTTCTGATAAGGTGTAGACATTTAAGAAATATTTCATTTATCTCCATAGGACACATTTTTTGAAGGAAACAAACTTGGGAAGATTAAGTAACTACCTAAAGACAGAAAGGGAATAAGCTAATATTTTTTATACTACATTATGTTTCCTCCCTGCAGCTTAAAATTTTAAGTGAATGACAGATATAGAAGCAGAAATCTGAATTGGCATTGTTATAAGAAAGTGATTGGTCAGGGACCAGCAGTTAGCGTAATGGCTATATCTCTGGACTCCCACGTAGTCGTCTGTGGTTTGCGTCCCAGACCCGGTGGCTTAAAACTCACGCCGGGCATGTGTACGTGCGTGCCCAAGATCCCGAGAGGAGAATGGAGGAGAAGGGATTGTGGTGTGGCCATTCCCTCTGGGGGGTGATTTCTCACTTTCTATCTCTCTGTGTCTCTCTGTCTGGCTGGCAAGCACATGCGCCCTATAGCAAAAAACCTCTCAAAAAAAAAGAAAGAAAGTGATTGGTCAAATCTGTCTGGCAGGGATCCTGATGGGACATAGTAAGGATTCTGTAGACAACATAAAACCTGCATAACGCAGGATCAGCAGATGGTGTAGTGGTTAAGGCGTTGTACTCCCACATGGCTAACCATGGTTCAAGTACCCAGACCTTAGAGGATTGAAACACATGCCAGGCACATGTGCATGCATGCCCAAAATCCCAAAAGGAGAATGAAGGAGAAGGGACTGTAGCATGACCATTCCCCCTGGGGAGGTAATTTCTTACTTTCTCTCCATCTCTCTGTCCATCTGGCAAGCACACATGTCCTGTAACAAAAATCTCTCTTAAGAAAAAAAAAAAACCTACATAACAGAAGAGGACTTAAACTACAAACACTACACTGTCTTTTTATATATATGTATGTATGTACATGCACACATATGTAGAAATGGGTATATCCTATTATTAACTACCTTTTACTTCATGAAATCCTGCGTTAAGCTTAGAGTTGGTTCTCAACTAGAAGTATCCTCCACCAAAGAGTATTTAGAAACAGGTGAGAGTGGGACCAGCAGTTGGCATAATGGCTATGTCACTGGACTCCCATGTAGTCTACTGCGGTTCAAGCCCTGGACCCGGTGGCTTAAACTCACCTGGGGGGTGATTTCTCATTTTCTGTGTCTCTGTCTCTCTGTCTTTCTGGCAAGCACATGCGTCCTATTGCATAAACCTCTCCAAAAAAAAAAAGAGAAAAGAAACAGGTGAGGGTAGTTGGTTGTTATCCTCTTGACTGGGGAATGCTATTGGCATTTAGCCAGCATAGGCAACAGATATTAAATGTTCTACAATGGTGTATCTGCACAACAAAGATTACCACACAAAAAACTGCCAGTACTGCTTCTCCAACACTAAGAAACACTTAAAGGAAACCTTATAAGTAGTGTAAAGAAGAAAAAAAAATGTATCCTGGTAGACTCAAGCAACATTTATCATTAAGATCCTGGTGTTCCACATGGGCAGAAATAGTAAGTAGGGAGCATCACACAGATTCCTAAACAAATTACATTCCTGTTTTAGATGCTACTGCATCTCACATATACACAGATGTGAAGTCTAACTATTAATATTATGGAAACATTTGTGAGACTGAAATTTTGAATGAAGATTCAAAACAATCTCTATCTAAGCATCTTCAGTTTACCCAAAAGCAGACTTCTTACTTACAAAGCAGTTCCTACTATCCACAGAGACTAAATATTAATGAAGTTCTGGTCTGATACTAATCCATTCATTCACTGATTCACAAGCTACTAAGTATCTTTCATGGAAGCAACTATGCTAGCAACTGGGAATTCAGTGTTTCACAAGACTGAAACACTCCCTAATCCTGATGGAATTTTTGCTTTAATATATTTATTTAGCTAGTAAACATGTAAACAAAAGCATAATATAATTTCAATTAGTGATAGAAATTATATTATGAGGAAAAAATAAGATGGGAAAGTGATTAATGAAAATGGGACAGATATTTTGTGAGGTATTCAGGGAAGGAAGCAACATTTGAACAGAGCCTTGAATGATGCTAAGGAAAACAGATACAGAAAAGTCTTTGGGGAAAGTATTGCTGGCAGAGAGAACGGCAAGGACAAAGTCAATAGGGAAAAACAGAATCAGTATATTAAAGCGACAGCAAAAAAGTGAATGTGACTGTGTAAGAAGCATGAGTGATGAGATTATATGAAAGGCGAAGGCAGAACCCAGTGCACGCAGGGATTTGCTGGTCTAGATGAGAAGTTTGGAGTCCTCCCTAATGTGATGGAATTAGAGAACTCTGAGCAAAGCAGTAAATGATCTGATACATTTGTTAAGAGTTTTTCTGCCTTAGGATGTGTGCGCTAGCCAGAGAGGGAGAGAAAGAAATAGAGAGCAAGAAATCACCCCCCTAAAGGGGATAATGGCCACACTGCAATCACTTCTCTTCTGTTCTCCTCCTGGGATCTTGGGTATGCACGCATACTCGACTGGCATAAGTTTTAAGCCACCGAGTTTGGGATTGGATCTGCAGTGGGTCATGTAGGAGTCCAGCAATGTAACTGCTACACCATCTGCTGGCCCCGATCTGATATATTTTATTAATGACTAGTTTGGGTACTAAGAAGAGAGAACCTAAGAACTAGAAAACCACCTGAGTTGAAAATTAGGATTGTAATGAGACACACAAAATATATATAAAGCACTACCTTTGTTAAACTACCTGACTATGGCAGAGGGAAGGTGAGAGTGCTGGTTAGGAAAAGGTAAACAATTTTACTTTTGAAACTATCTGGACTCAAGACATCCCTGCACAAACTTCTGCCATGCATTTTCTGATTAGCCAAGACATTAAGTGACCTCTTAGTATAACAACAAAAAAAGCATCTTCCTAGCCACAGATGGGAAGCCAATCCATTACATTCAAGGTTGATACACCTAGAACCAAGTCAATATTAACACAAACTTTATAAAGTACTCTCTGCTAACTTCAGTAAACTAAAATAATAAATAAATAGGGAAAAATCAGGTCCTCAAAATGTTCACACTAGGACACAAGACTATTTTTCAAGCCACAAAAAATGGTTCCTATTTCAAATAAACTTAAATAGAAAGATACAAAATTAAAAGTAGTTCATAATAAATGAGGCAATTAGAAAGAACCTGTTAAAATAATCAATTTTGGAGAAGGAATGCTACCAACATTATTGTGCAGTTAATCCTCAGACTTTCGACTTGCCAGACACATTGGTTTAGTTTATTTGGCATCTCCTGGATGTTCATTAAATCTTGTGGACACATTTATCTAATCAGATAATTATTATCATTAGCCAACATTACTGAGCATCCTGTGTTAAGTGCCAGGAATATAAATCTTTCCTGTCAGACTAGAGAACCTAGGAATGTGTAAGAAAAAGGATAAAAACAAAATACAGGAATATATGCTAATCTGATGGACTGAACTGGGCAGACAGGCAGTGACTTCATTCCAATCTGCATCATTAATAATTTACAATGAAAGGGTGTCAAATAAATCGTCAAGTCAGTAAATAGAGCCCAGAAGACAAAAAGACTAGAAAGGTTGGGTGAGAACTTTACAGACATTAGGATCCAAGAAAGGTTTTCAGAAAGAGTTGAAAGGCTTTCAAAAAGGGTTAACACATATTGCACGCAAATAATCGATTCTTGTCTCAGGGTTTAAAAGTGATCATTTTTACATCTTTTTATAACTACTTAGGGACATTTCGGGATGGGAAGCTCACAGAGACATGACTTGGAAGGAATTACTAAAGTGCACTCTTGAATGACAAACTCGGAAACTGTAGAAACTGAGTCATCAGAGATCTGCTTATATGGCTTAAACCGTTTTTCTAAACTTTGCTTTGGATTATAAATAGTCTAATCATTTTCCAAAATGTCTTACTAAATGTGGTATTCCTCCACTGGTTTAAAAAAAAAAAAAAGTCATAAGGCACATTTGGAAGATGCGACAGGAACTTCCCTGCTTCTGAAATGTTGAAAATTGCTAGCTCAATCAAAAGCACCAGAAACTGATGGGTCCTATTCGGCTTCTCTCTCCCAGCGGTTACGTCACCTCAGTCGAAGAAAAAAGATATCAATACTTAAAAGTCTTGACACCCTGAACAGAGTAGAACACACGCGCTTTTTTTTTTTTCTTTTTTTTTTTTTACCTTATTTTCAAGCGAGCTTTTGTCCAAATACACTAAACCATGTATTTAACAGTAAAACGACTGGCCATGGGAAATCCCCGCGAGTTCGTTCCTCTTTGTCTGCACGAGAGCGAGATCAGCACTTTTTCAGCCAATTACAAGGGAACCCGCCGGTGCATCATGGGAGTCGGTGCCGAGGGGATTGTGGGAAATGTAGTTTGAAGACTCCGCCCACCTCGCCATTCCTGTAATGGCTGCTTCCTGGAAGGTAATGTACGAACTCGTCTCCAAAGTATACCCGATTGCCCCATCGCATCTGTAAAATAGGGGGCAGATTTGCATCTTGCCAGGCCAAAGTAAAGATTCTTTTACAAGTTTTAATATTAAGTCCTGTAAGGAACTTGTCTGTTGGTTTGGTTTCTTTTTTAGGTTTTCCTCCGGGTGAACTGATCAACTTTTAAGTGTAGTTCCCTCTTCTTGGAGAAACTGTTTTCTCTACTCATTACTTATTCCTCTCCCTACCAGCCTCCTCGCTCTGTACCGATTCTAGCTGCCTCATTAAAGTAATACTAATAATTTTTAAATCCTCTCCCTCCTTCCCAATAATAGGCGGTGTCACGTGGAACCTCTTAGCCTCTGCATCCAGAGCTCCAAGAAGGGAATATTTCAAATAAGATAGGATTTTATATAAATATATATACACCATTTCTCGGTAAGTCTTATTAATTCCCCATAACTTGCCAGATTTGTCTGCATTTTCTGGGACGGGAGACATCCTAAGAAAATATAATTTTTACTCACCAGGCTTGTTTTAAGTTTCCAAGTCAGTGTCTTAAGACTTTTTTCTTTTTGTTGTTAACTATGTACTGATCTTCGGTTTCTGTTTGATGTTGCACATGGTGTTGGCATTATTGAGGGAAAATTGCTGGGGTGTAGGCTGTTAAGAAATGAGATTAGCCTCAGATGACTGTTTCTAAGTGCCTTTATTTCGCTTCAATTTTTTAAGCAGTAAAATGAGGAGGTGGATTTGAAATGATTCATAAAGTCTAATTTAAAAGATTGAGTGGACTGTTACTTGTCATGTATTCATAGTTTGAAAAGATGAGAATTTTTAATGGTTCCTTTTTTGTTTCCACCTTTAATTTCTAGGAACCTTCAGCCCTCAAGATCCCAACACCATGACCTCAGTTTCAACACAATTGGTCTTAGTGCTTCTTTCACTGCTTTTGGTGCTGCCTGTTGTGGAAGCTGTGGAAGCTGGAGATGCCATCGCGCTCTTGCTAGGTGTGGTCCTCAGCATCACAGGCATTTGTGCTTGCTTAGGTGTATATGCACGAAAGAGAAATGGACAGATATGACTTTGAAGGGCCTTCACAATCAAGCTTCACCCTGAAAAACCTTTGTGTAGTTGAGGCTAAACCTGAGCATTGATGTCTGAGTTTCCCCAAATGGTATAGGGTACTTTCACATTCTTAGCTGTTTCTCATAAAATGGGAACAAATTGATGTCTTAGTAGGGGGAAAAATGATTTTTTTACAACAAATAATGCACTTAAAAATGCAGCCTATAATTTGTGTTTGCTGGTTAGAAAGGTCAAAGTAAGATGGCTAGCGTTTACATAAGTAATATTTCATAGTGTTACTATTGTCAAGCACATGAAATGAGGAAGTTCTTGTCCAGAATCCAGGGAAGTCGCCGACTGTTCAGTTACAATCACTGCCTCCTGACTCAATAAGAAGTCTTCATATTTTTATTGGATTTTTGTTTTATCTCTCGAGTCAATATTGTTCTTAGGTGTCAACTAGCTAAAAATTTAAACTTTTATCTCTGTAGGACAAAAGTTTTGAAAATGTATTCAATGTATCCAATATGAAAATGGAGAAGAGATTTAATTTTAAAAAAAACTTTATATTAACATTGAAATGGAAAAAGATTTAATGTAAACAAAAATTTTATATTAATTAATTAGGTCACATTCTCATGGTGAGAAGTACTATATTAAATACAAACCCATTATGTTGTAAGTTCATCTGTGGTGTCCATTTCTATTTTTTATTTTGGGGGGCAGGGGGGATGCTGTTTTTAATCTGCATGGACAACCTGTAAGCTAAGTGGAAAAAGTGAGATGCCTTTTGTTAACTGATCACACTGGCTTGAAGAGAGATAATTAATGAAAAATGGGTAATAGAAGAGGCTGCTGGTAGACTATCCACAGATATGGAAGGAAAATGTAGTAGCCTATACTGATTAGCACACCGGCCAGTTGAGACATACTCTCTCTGACCTAGCTACTGAAAGTGTCCTCAAACCAGAAACATCACCTGGAAGCTTGTTAGAAATGCAGAATCTCACTCAGATCCTTTTCAGACTAATGGATCAGTGTCTACATTTGTTTCAAGAGCCCAGGATAACTTGTTATGCACAGCATTGGTTTAAGAAGACTGCTGTAACTTATTTGAGCAGAAGAATTATTCCTGGCATTTGATGAGACTTAGATACAGCCACCGTAAAATAGTCTTGAGTAAATCAAACTACTTTAGCATCTCACTGGAAGTAAGTAGTAAAGTTTTTTTCCCGTAATACATTACCAGTCTCTAGCTCACCAGGTGACATTGGGAGCCTCTATTTCCATCAGAAAACAGACAGCAACAACCAAAAATCCTGCTGACTGCGTATTTCTCTAGGTGTGAGCTGACCTGACTCTCATGAGGGATTCATACAAAGCACAAACAAGATGACCATGTTATAAAGAGGTGGACACTGAATAGATTTGATTTTGTCATTGCGGATTTTTTGTTGTTTTTAACCCAGAGAAAGCACTGACCTTCTTTATTTGGATAAGTTGGCAGTTGCACATCGTGTATCAGTAATTAATAGAGCTTGATTGTACATCCTCTTGGGGGATGGGAAAGGGAAGGAAAAGAATGATACAGGTTGCAAGATTAGTACAGAGAGGCTTCTGCTGCTTCCTTGCATGTCTGAATTTTTTCATTGGGATAGGAGAAATCAAATCTAAAGTGTGTTTTAAATCATTGTGCAGTAGTCATTCAGTCACCTCCAGGTACTATTTTTAAAATGTTCAAAATAAGACGACAGGCAAACATTCTTTAGTGAAAATGTATTTCTAGAAGTGCCTAGGAGGAATTAGAAAATTACCATTTTCCTATTTTTCCCCTTGAAAACAATTCTTGAAGCATGCAGGAATTGTGATGGATGTGATGCGGACACCTCCTCCAAAAATAGCTTCATTTCTCATCTGTTTTGAGTTACATGGTTTTGCTTAAAAAGAACAAGAACCCTTGCGGTGGCTCTTAACCTTGTATAGATGGTCAGCTTCTTTAAGAATCTGATGAAATCTGGGGCCAGCAGATGGCATAGTGGTTATATCACTGGACTCACATGGCCAACCACGTTTCAAGCCCCAGACCTGGTGGGTGTGTGTGAACCCAAGTTCCAGGGAGGAGGACAGAGGAGGAGGGATTGTTGTGTGGCTATCCCCTTTTGAGGGGGGAAGGAATTTTTCTCTCCTCACTGTCTCCGTCTCCCCTGTCCTACTCTAGTGAGCATAAGCACCCTAAGGCAAAAACCTCAAAAAACAAAAAGGAATCTGATGAAATTTATTTGTGTTTCCACCAAAAAATGCCCTCGTCTGCTGGAACTTTACATTAATTTCAGGTGTTGGCAAAGTTGAAACCCATCCAGGAATCCCAAATTACAAATGTCTATGCATATCTTTTTTTTTTTTTTTAGCTTCTCTCCAATTCTAGAATGTCTTGATTTGGTTTAAAAGAGAACACCTGCTATGGAACAGTTAGAGCAGAAATGAGAACTCCATATATGGACCTCTGTGCCCAGCATAATTTGTAGATATCCAGAAAGTGCTGTGTGTGTGAGCTTGGGTTGAGTTCAGTGAAAAGGGCAAAAGGGTAATGATTGATATCAACAAGTGAAGAACTTAAGGTCCTTGCCAGTACTAATTTCTGTTTTCTGTAATTTTGTAATAACTAGCATATTCCCCTAATGCCCAAATCGGTACCTTTCCTGAACCATTTTTCTCTGACTGCCTTCATGACATTCTTTGTTCTTAGTTTTCAGAAGTTTGACTTATATTTTGGCATGGATATATTTGGGTTTATCCTATTTGGAACTTGCTGAGATTTTGCATCTGTAGAGTTATGTCTTTCCCCACATTTAGGAAACTTTCAGCTATTACCTTTTTCAAATGCTTTTCAGCCCAACTTTTCCCCCTACTCTTCTAGGACTTGAGTACCCAGTATTAGATACTAATAATCACAGGCAGCCCTAAGGCTCTATCTAGTTGTCTACTTATTTATTTTTAGTTGTTTTTTCCTTGTTCAATTTGAGTAATTCCTAATGTTATATCCTCAGATTCACTGACTCTGCTGTTGTATTTTTAGTTAAGAATTTTCCATTTGGTTCTGTTTGTCTCTTTCTTTAAAGAGACTTAAATTTGTTTAAAGCATATTTGTGATTATTCATTGAAGCACAATTCTGATGGCTGCTTCAAAATCCCTGTCAATTCCAGCTTCTATTATTTCATTGTTAAGATTGCTGACTGTCTTTTCTCATTTAAGTTATGAGCTTCCTTCTTCTTGATTGTTATCTAGACATTTTGGATATTGTGTTAAAAAGGCTCTGGACTTTATTTAAATGTATTTTAGCAGGCCTCTTAACAGGAAGGGAGGATGCTTCATCCTTACTGCTAGATGGAGGCAAATGTCCAGGGTCACCTGGTTACTTCTCTCCATGAACCTTCCACTGATGTGGAGGTTAGATGGGAGTGGAAGTCCAGATTCCCCATGTTTCTGGCACCAGATGGGGGAGGGAGGTCTTTACTACCAACTGGTAAGGATTAAAGTGCCAATCCCCACCTAGCCTTCACTGACAACACCCCTGTGTGGAGTCTTAGCTTCTCTCCAATTCTAGAATGTCTTGATTTGGTTTAAAAGAGAACACCTGCTATGGAACAGTTAGAGCAGAAATGAGAACTCCATATATGGACCTCTGTGCCCAGCATAATTTGTAGATATCCAGAAAGTGCTGTGTGTGTGAGCTTGGGTTGAGTTCAGTGAAAAGGGCAAAAGGGTAATGATTGATATCAACAAGTGAAGAACTTAAGGTCCTTGCCAGTACTAATTTCTGTTTTCTGTAATTTTGTAATAACTAGCATATTCCCCTAATGCCCAAATCGGTACCTTTCCTGAACCATTTTTCTCTGACTGCCTTCATGACATTCTTTGTTCTTAGTTTTCAGAAGTTTGACTTATATTTTGGCATGGATATATTTGGGTTTATCCTATTTGGAACTTGCTGAGATTTTGCATCTGTAGAGTTATGTCTTTCCCCACATTTAGGAAACTTTCAGCTATTACCTTTTTCAAATGCTTTTCAGCCCAACTTTTCCCCCTACTCTTCTAGGACTTGAGTACCCAGTATTAGATACTAATAATCACAGGCAGCCCTAAGGCTCTATCTAGTTGTCTACTTATTTATTTTTAGTTGTTTTTTCCTTGTTCAATTTGAGTAATTCCTAATGTTATATCCTCAGATTCACTGACTCTGCTGTTGTATTTTTAGTTAAGAATTTTCCATTTGGTTCTGTTTGTCTCTTTCTTTAAAGAGACTTAAATTTGTTTAAAGCATATTTGTGATTATTCATTGAAGCACAATTCTGATGGCTGCTTCAAAATCCCTGTCAATTCCAGCTTCTATTATTTCATTGTTAAGATTGCTGACTGTCTTTTCTCATTTAAGTTATGAGCTTCCTTCTTCTTGATTGTTATCTAGACATTTTGGATATTGTGTTAAAAAGGCTCTGGACTTTATTTAAATGTATTTTAGCAGGCCTCTTAACAGGAAGGGAGGATGCTTCATCCTTACTGCTAGATGGAGGCAAATGTCCAGGGTCACCTGGTTACTTCTCTCCATGAACCTTCCACTGATGTGGAGGTTAGATGGGAGTGGAAGTCCAGATTCCCCATGTTTCTGGCACCAGATGGGGGAGGGAGGTCTTTACTACCAACTGGTAAGGATTAAAGTGCCAATCCCCACCTAGCCTTCACTGACAACACCCCTGTGTGGAGTCTGAGACATCTCATTACAGCCTGCTGACGGTAAAAGTTTTAGCACTGCAGGCAGCCTTTGCTGTTGGTGCGTGTGGGGTCACAGTTCTTTCTGTGGTATTTGGTTGGAGTAGAACAGTTGTCTAAAAGTTTTCAGTTTTGTTAAGCATCTCCTTTCCCAGTCCTATAACTAGAGTCTTTTCTTGGTTAATTCATTCTTTCTCTTCTGTATTGTTTGTTTTGTTTTGTTTTGTTTTTTTCTGAGTCGCCCGCCAATTCTGGACTGCCAACTTCTCCAGTACCCAATATGAGGCATAGGAGGAACAATCCAGGGAATTCAACACTGTTGTTTCTTTAGTCGTGAGGAACCTAGCTATTGAGCCTTCTTGCCACCTTTCAGAATCTTACATTTTATTCATAATGTCCAGAGGGTTTAGCTCTGTTTATGGGAGATATAGGGAAAAAGATGCTGACTCTCATCTTGCTGGATGCAGAAGACTCCTCTGTGCATATTTAAAAAGTGAATTGTCTGAGGTACTTCATAGATAGAAAAAAACAAGGAAAAAAATTTGTTTTTGCCATAGAGCACATGCACTTCTGGGGAGGGGGTGGGGGGCGGGAGGGGAGGGGGCAAGTGAGAAGTCATTCCCCAAAGAAGATGGGCATGCCACAATCCCTTCTTCATTATCCTGTCAGGATTTTGGGCATACACACACGTGCCCGGTGTGATTTTCAGGCTGCCGAATCTCAGACTCCATCCATGGCCAGCCATGTTGGAATCCAGCACCTTAACCACCACACCACCAACTGGCCCTGGGAAATGATCTATTTAAGGTTACTTCACTAGGACAACTCCCACACCCACCCTCTCCTCTTCATTCATCCATCATGTTGTTTATTCCTACCTTATTCAACCAGGAGTATGAGTGAAAATCAAGATT